ATATTTAAATATGAATTATTAGTTATTAATTAAAACCTGATTTCTGTAGTATTAAACTTGATTCTTGATTTATGAAAATTGAAATTTAAAACTCATTCTAGCTGTAATTTCCTCTAATTATATTCACAAAATAATTTTTATTTCTTGTACCACATTTTAATTGTACTTAAAGTTCTTAATCTTTACTCATTATTGTACTTATGTCTCTAACGATTTTTCATGTTATTTTTACGGTCAAATTTTTCATTGGTTAACACATTTTATATTTGATAATAGTTTTATGTCAAAAAAATAATGTAAAATAACTTATTTTCATAACTGTGTTAGAAAGTAAATAAATAAAAAGTGAGAAAAAATATTTTCGCCTCATTTAAAAGTATGAAAATAAAATATTTAAATATAAATTATCAAGCACGAGAAGTACGAATTAATGGAAGGTTGAAGATAAGAATTGGACGAAAAAAAATTTAAGAAAATAATTGTTACAACGAGGAAAGATTACGGAGCTTAATTGTAATTAAAATGTTGTGTATCAATTAAAAATTGTGGTGGCAATATAATTATCCAAAAGAAAATTCAAACAGTAACGGGCAACTTACAAAAATATCCCTCAAATTAAGAATTTTTTGAAAATTTATATGAAAAATATTTTGAAAATAAAAAATACTGTGTGAAATTAAATGCCATTTTTTAATTAAAAGTGACATAATGACACTTTTTAAAAGAAAATACTAGGAGTCACTTTTTTAAGTTAAGTCTCTTTTATTTAAAAAAGTGAAGAGTGTTTTGTATAATTAAGCGACACAATGCGACTTTTTTATATATATATAAAATGTCACTTTTTTAAGTTGAGTGTACAACACTATGTTTGTTACTTAAAAAAGTGACGAGGAAAAAAAAAGTAATAAATGTTGAAAGAGTAATAGAAATTCAGAAAAAGTAGCAAAAATTGAAGTGAGACTTTTTTTTTTTTAATTTAAAAACTGATGTAAATAAGTGACATTGTTTAGACATTAACAACTGTCTATTGAATATGGATAAACTATACAGCTTCAAGTGCTTAATTGATTACGTGGACATTGAATTTTCAATTTCTCCAAGAATTTCTAAAGAGTAATTAGCTGAACAGATCTACAATTGCTAGTTATAACTTTATCCCACGAGAAATCCACTTAAATGATCAACTTTAATTAGTCTCAAATTTTACCACTAAAATTTTTTTTTTAAAAAAAAACATGAGCATTGGGGGTCTCTTTCCATTCAATCATAGCATGGGCAAATGATGCGACTTCGGAATTTGAAGACGATGGGAAGTTGGACCATAAATTACTTGAGAGTAGCCAAAAAAAAAACCTATGCTTAGTGGCCAGCCTTCAAATGGTACTAGGCTTCTAGGGAAAATGGGGTCGTAAACATTTGATCGACAGCTGAAAAATCTTGGAATCATCGACATTTTGCAATTTCCCTGTGATTTTGGATGAATTTTGCAAGAAGTTGACGATTTTTAATGTATGAAACGATGCTCGCATGTTACAATGGGGGTCGTAGACATGATATATTGGGGGAGTTATGGAAGTTTTGGGGTTTTATAACGAGTTAACTACAGTCCTTAAGTGATTTAATTAGTTATTAAGTATTTATCAAATCACTCAACTTTTTAGGATATTGAACCTAATTTGTCCAACAATAATTACGTTGTAGGGGTAATGGACTAGAAAATGAAGGTTATAGAGTTTTACTTTTACTACTACACAACTCCATTAACAATAACTACAAGCTCCGATCTCTTATAATTTGAGAGAACAAAAAGTTATGATAGGAGACATTTATTTTTTACAATATATTAGATTATTAGGGTAATTAGCACATCACGTCACCACATTTCATTGTTATTGTGGAAAATGTTCATACATTTCATTTTTCTTTTTTTTTTTTCACTTTTATTTTCATATTCCATTGCACAATATGTCATTTTTATTAATTTTCTCATTTAAAAATTGTGAAATGACGAAAATACAACTTCCTTTAAATAAAACAAAAGGAAAAGAAAAAAAATCAATTGCAATTATAGTCCCAATTTTTTTGAAAAATGCAAATGAACCCCAAATAAATTATTAAAAGGGTAATTAGTAAATGATGTTCTTATCTTTCACTTTTATTGCGAAAAACGTTCATAACTTTCTTTTTTTTTTTTTTTGCATTTTCACCATGAGTTACACATTTGATTGTGCAAACCATCATTTCCATCTATATTCATCCAATTTCTCGATAAAAAAAACTGTGAAATAATGAATATACTCTCATATTTAAATATATTTTTTTAATTTCTATTTCTTTAATAATTTATTTGGGACTTGATAAGTGCGTTTTCACATACTTATTTTACTGTCAAAATATGAGCAATTGTTGATTAAAATATTGAAATATAGTTTAATTCTTTACAATTCATGTTTTGTAGGATAAAATGATAAATGTAGTGAAATAAGGATATATAAGTGAAAAATGATCAAAATGGAGGAAAGTGAAAGTTCAGGGACTAAAGTACAAATACTACAAACTTATTTCCAACATTGTGATGAAAATTCGAGAGTGTTAGAGGTCAAATGAGTGAAATATAGCCAAGATATTATCTCATATCAACTTTCAAGTTGGAAAGTTTTACACTGATTTTCAGCTTCATATTAAGACCAGTTTTTGACAAGACAAACGATCGAATTGGAAGTTGACATTGAAGTAAAGTTGTAGCCATTTGAGTTAGCTTTCCAATACATCTTGAATTACTTCAATCGGATATCGAGAGAGAAAGTAATGACCAAATTACTAAAAATTATCCGGCAAGAAAAATAAATAACCATGCGGTCACATGGTGTTAATCCCATGCGACCGCACATAAGCATGCAGGGACTTCAGAGGCTGAAATTATTTGTTCCTTGCGACCATAAGGGTTTATGCCTTGCGATTACATAGGGTATTTTCAAGGCAAAATTTCTAGTTTTCGAATTTAAGTCAACCATTTATGGTAACTTATTTTGGGCACGATTTCTCAACCCTAAAGCACACCAGAACGGTCCAGAACGCATGAGCCTCGATTTTACACCATTCTTTCATCCCTTTTGGCTCAAGAAACTCCATGGAAGGCTAAAAATCTTGGTGAAACTTGGAAGGAACTCATTGCATTAGGTGATTTTACATCAGTTATTCATGTAATCAGATCTTTATTTGTAAAATACTTTTATAATTTAGACTTTCC